AATGCATAAACTCATAATAACTGTCATCGTAACGTTAAGCGTGCGGACCCTACGGTTCGAGAACAATGTAGACATGATCGAGACACGTCTCCAGTCAATAACCAATAGCGGGACCTGGATGCCCATATTGGCTCCTACATATTCTACGAAGATCTTTATCGGTCAGACCGCATAACAACATACGTTGTTCCCTTTGTCATTGGTATGTTACTTGCCCGAGATTCGATCGTCGGTATCCAATACCTAGTTCAATCTCGTTACCGGCAAGTCTCTTTACTCGTTCCGTAATACATCATCTCACAACTACCATATTAGTTGTAATGCTTGCAAGGCTTATGTGATGTGCATTACCGAGAGGGCCCAGAGATACCTCTCCGACAATCGGAGTGACAAAACCTAATCTCGAAATACGCCAACCCAACATGTACCATTGGAGACACCTGTAGTACTCCTTTATAATCACTCAGTTACGTTGTGACGTTTGGTAGTACCCAAAGTGTTCCTCCGGTAAACGGGAGTTGCATAATCTCATAGTTATAGGAACATGTATAAGTCATGAAGAAAGCAATAGCAACATACTAAACGATCGGGTGCTAAGCTAATGGAATGGGTCATGTCAATCAAATCATTCAACTAATGATGTGACCTCGTTAATCAAATAACAACTCATTGTTCATGGTTAGGAGACATAACCATCTTTGATTAACGAGCTAGTCAAGTAGAGGCATACTAGTGACACTTTGTTTGTCTATTTATTCACACATGTATTATGTTTCCGGTTAATACAATTCTAGCATGAATAATAAACATTTATCATGATTATAAGGAAATAAATAATAACTTTATTATTGCCTCTAGGGAATATTTCCTTCAGTTCGAAAGAAGAGGTAGGGCAGGGGATTGGCAACGGTGATGGAGCAACGAAGGGACTTGGCGCGCGTGTGTGTTCGAATCAGAGGTGAGGACGGGATGCTGGTGAGCAGGGTCCTGCGAGGGGCGGAGCAGTTCCCGGTGGCGGCAGCATGAAGCATCCATGGCGGGGCCTTGGCTCCCTGGTACAGAGACATACAGAGAGTTGAGAGAGAGATGAGGAAGACAGAGAGGAGGAGAGGAGCGGGGCGAGGCCGGTCCTGGTTGGTCATCTCGCCGGACGGCGGCTGGCTAATCCGGCCAGACGGAGGTGGCAGCACGAGAGAAGGGTTGCGGGGATGGTGGGAACGAGGCAGGGCTCGGGAGGGTCTTGGAGGCACCGCAAGGACGACGGGGAGGAGCTGCTGGAGGTCGCTGGCTCGGGCGAGGGTTGCAGGCGCAAGGCGCCTGGCCTTGGGTAGTTGGCGGCCGGCCGGCGTAATGCGGTGAGGCGCTCGGGAGATCGGGAGCCCGATCCAGAGCGAGGGAAGCTGCGGGAAGGCCCTGGCTGGCGCAAGGAGATCCCTTGGATCTTCATCCAAGGGTGGAGAAGGGAAGCTACGGGCTAGAATGGATCTGGCCAAGTGGATCTGAGAGAGATGGTGGTTGGCTCGGCGCTGAAACCCAGAGAGAGAGTGGCGGCGGCGTGGGGATTTGGTGAAGATTTGACAGGCGGGTTGGACTGTTATATACATCGCGTGGATTAGATTAGGGGCTACTCGATCCCTCTTATCGGAATCGGACGGTCACGAAATAAATAGCTTAGGGAGTCCAAATAAGAAAACAGTGATGTTTTGTACTCCCTCTGTAAACTAATATAAGAGCGTTTAGATCATTATTTTAGTAATCTAAACACTCTTATATTAGTTTACGGAGGAAGTAGATGTTTGGGGATGTTCCGGACCCAACGGTGATGACTATCCGGGCCAGGTTCGAGACAGTTTTCGGACGCGCGCGAGGAGGGTCGTGGGCTTACGAGAGAGGTTAGGTTGGGCCTGGCGGTAGGTAGTGGACTGTGTAGACGGTCTAGGAAGGAAAAAGAGGGAGAGCCCGGCAACAGTTTTTCGGAGATCGAAAACTTCCGACGTTAGACCGGCTATACTGCCGCTATAGTTATCCGTTGGGGCACCAAACGAACTCCGAGTGCGATGAAACTTGGCAGGCGGCCTACCTACAACATAACAACACCGCATGCCAACTTTCATCCCATTCCGAAAACATTTTCTGGCCACTTATAAAATAATATTTCGGACGTGCCACGGGCGCGTGCAAGTGTGACTGGGCCCAAAACGGACAACGGACGGAACTGGAGAAACCCGAACGGATGCAAGTTTTGAAAACATGATGATGCAATGCACATGATGACATGATAAAATGCAACACGCAAGCGAATGACATGGCAACGACGGCGAATAACTGGAAGACACTTGGCGCATCGGTCTCGGGGTGTCACAACACTAGTCTAAGTTACTACCTTCATAGTGCAAAGAAACATACTAGTAGTATTATACTACCTTCTTTCCGGTTTATAAGGCTTATCTCAAAATTTTAGTTTTTCCATTTTATAAGGCTCAATTTGGTTTTTCCCCATCACATGTTTAGATTTAAGGTGCATTAAATCATTGCATGCAAGTATTAAGAGAAAATTGACCAATGCATGTACTTTATGCATGCATGCATTGCAATTAATGCATTGGTAAACATAATTTTTTAAGGAAAACAAAAGTATTAATTGGGTGCTTTTGCAAACTACAAAAAGTATTCCACCACTCATCATCTACCTTGGTTGGTGAGATCTTTGAATTGAGCTCTATAAACCGAAAAGGAGAGAGTAGATTGCTTCATTTATTAACTCATAGACTCATTTTGTCTCGGAAAGCACTATGTTACAGTAACATATTATGTTACCACAAGCACCACTTTCCCCACGATGGCTAGCCTTAGTGATTTCATATCATATGATACTCCCTCCTTTCTGGCTTATAGGGCTTAATTCAAAAATCTCACCAACCAAGGTAGATGGTGAGTGGTGGAATATTTTTTGTAATTTGCAAAAGCACCCGACTAATGCTTTTGTTTTTCTCAAAAATTTATGTTTACTAACATATTAATTGCAATGCATGCATGCATAAAGTATATTCATTGGTTAATTTTCTCTTAATACTTGCATGCAATGATTTAATGCATCTTGAAATCTGAACTTATGTTGGGGAATTATCAAATTGAGCCTTATAAAATGAAAAAATTAAGATTTTGAGATAAGCCCTATAAACAAGAATGGAAGGAGTATGTGGTAAGCAACGTCAAAACAAACAATGTCAACAAAAAATTAGTAATTTTCGTGTGTCACTTGTACTAAAATATAATTTGTCACGCCTCAGTCCTACAAATAGGCCGGCACAACAACCAGTTTATAGTCAACACGTTCATTCGCTGGTTGTACATCAGTTTTTGTTTCCTTGTTGTCTACTCCCTCCTTCCTAAAATATAAGATGCACATTGATTTTTTTTTGTCTTCGTCGCACAACTTTAACTATATTTTTTACTTATTGTATAACTATAAAATTATCATAAAGACATATGAAATAGAATTGTTTTACCAGACAAATACAATGATATTATTGATACACGTTCAATCCCAGTATTTTGGTATATATTAATAGACAAAGTCATGCATCAAAGACCATGAAAAGTTAAGCGTGCCTTATATTTTAAGAAGGGGGGAGTAATAGCTATACCTGTCTGGTTTTGACCCATCTTTTTTCGTTTTGCTTTTTCTTTGTTTATTTTTTGGTCTTTCTCTGTTGTTTTCCTTTTTATTGGTTTTCTTTGTTTCTTTTCTTGATTTTCAGCCGTTTCTTTTCTTTTCTTTTCTTTTTCACTTTTTCTTCTTTTGTTGGTTTTCCTTGTTTTTTTCTTTGAATTTTTTTGACACAAGTCTAAAATTTTCGTATACATCGATTACATTTTTCTTATACATCTTTAACATTTTTCAAATACATGATTAACTTTCTTTCAAACTTATATTTTGATGGTTATTTGCTTTTTCATACATTTTTTGAATTGTTGCAATAAATATATAAAATTATATATGTTTAACATCTCTTAAATATATGATTAGTTTTTTCCAAACATATGTTTCGATCTCTACTTTTGTTCATACACTTTGAACATTTTTCGTATACATCAGAAACCTTTTTGAAGAACATTTAAAAAACATATATTGTTTTTTTTCTCATACACCATGTACATTTTTTATATATCAAAAACATGTTTAATATATTTTTTGTTTTCTTAAGCAAAAATGCTTAAGGCATGTGGTTTCTTAAGCTCTCTGGACTGCCCCGCAAATGGACCAGAGAGAACAGGTTGAACTCGCCTGTTTTTGCATGAACCGGGAGAAAACCAAGTCCGGGTTGAAACTGCAAAATAAGATGTGTTTTGGGGTTTCAAACTCTGGAATTTGGTGCTAAACCATAGTTTAAAAATTTGGTGACCGAACCATAGTTAAAATACTGGGCATGTTAAGCCATGATGTACTACGTGCAGTGGCGGATCTAGGGGTGGGGTAATGGGGCCATGGCCTCCACAAACAAATTATAATTTTTATTTTACTAGCGCAATGCTTGTCCATCATACTAAACTTTGGTGTTGTGTAATAAAAGAAATTATCCATTGGAATGTTGTTAATGGTTGCCCCCACATTTTCAAATCCTAGATCCACCACTAACCATGTGCATTCTCGTGTCTAACGAATCCAAGGTGGTTCCAACGAATTCGAGAAAGGCCTACTTGCATTCACATCACACAAGCTCGTCCTTCTTGTTCTTTAACCAACATCTTAAGCATGTACTACATTCATCGCAAGAATAAGATTGTGATATACATTTTGCGACAAGTCAGGTCACTTCACATCATGGATGTCTTGAGATGTTTGAAATTTCAGCATATCAAGCATCTCGAAGAGAAAAAAAAAGAATAATTTATTGATGCTTATCTAACAATAAAGAATCACTAAGCATACAACCACTGCCCCCACCTCTAATATGTCATTCCAAAAATTCTAATTCTCTTCAATTAACACGTTCCTGTTATGTCCAAAAGTTTGAATTCGTCATGATAACCACCACCATCAGGCTCAACAGCAAACGGAGGGCCGACAAGAAACCTTTCTCCCTTCCTGTTCTCAGTCTCCATACCGCACATCCTTCAGCATCACTTGTCTGCGTCGTGGTTGTGTTTGCACCGTCAGATTTGGTGACGTTGCTATACAGTTTACTGCATGAATATACAGCATCAGAAGTAGTCCATATTTGGTGAAAATTGTGGCTTGATCTTATACTTCACTATTTAAGATATGTCCGAAATTGAGAAGATAGAGTAGGCTATGAATTTGTGATTCAGACAAGAAGTTTCTAGTCTTAGAAATTTAAGTTGGTCGTCACATTCTCAAGCTCTAGTAGAAATTCAGGGTTCTTTAATTCCAGGGGTTCTATTATGTCCTGCTAAGTATTCTACTGAAAGACTTGAAAGCAAATCAAAATTATCTATTTCCTTAATAAGCAAAGGACTCTAACCCAGGTTACTTGTATTATGTGGCATACAAAATTGGTTGGACATATCTTAAATACTGAAGTATAAGATCTTTCAGACATTTGAATAAAAAAATTCAGAAATGTACCTTCCAACAAAGATGCAGCTATCATGACCTGTACAACAAAATGTATCGACTGGTTAGAAAATCAGAAAGGACCTTCAGCGTTAATCTGAAAGTAATACTAGTAAAAGATTAAAGCAGCCTAGCAAACTCATCAGCATGAAATTTAGATAATGCACCAACATGAAAGCGCAATTTGCTATCACCTTGTCCGTTAACTACCTTGAGGCAATATATGATACAGTGATAGCTGATAAGAGTAGTCAAATATTTGAACAAAATAAGCTACTCTAGAAATGTGTAATATCTCAGATGAGACTGGAAAAAGAATGTGACTTCTGAACATAGGTAAGAGAACATGAAGAAAATTTCAACAGTGTGCTAGCAGTTATTTGCACCTGTAAATAAACACACAGAGTAAAAATCTACCATCAGAACAGTCCCTCTTTACTAGTAAAAGCAGGAATGAATCCATGCTAGATTTAGTAAATAGTACTCCCTCCGTTCCGAATTACTTGTCGCGGCTATGGATGTATCTAGATGTATTTTAGTTCTAGATACATCCATTTCTGCGACGAGTAATTTGGAACGGAGGGAGTACAAGCTGCAAAATTGAATTGAATCTACGTATGAAATGAGTTCTGGTATGATATTGGAAGCCTGAATCTAACTTCAGTTCCACGTGTATGAACAATTTGTAGTATTTGTAGCACACATTACTAATTTGAAAAAGGAAACAGTCTGTAGGCACTAAGGACCACATAATTATTATTTGCTGGGCCCATGTGTGACAGCATCCGCATCCCCATTGGCGTCCCTAACATCTAGGTCAGTCAAGTACACACAGAGCTTCCGTTCTGTACTTCTTGTACTCCCTCCGTTCCGAATTATTTGTCGCAGAAATGGATGTATCTAGAACTAAAAAATGTCTAGATACATCCATTTCTACGACAAGTAATTCCGAACGGAGGGAGTACCAGTCAATGACTGATTGACACTTATTAAAAAGATACGAGTATTTCCCTAAGAAAAAGATATAAGTAGATTCGATACAGAAACACTAAATGTTCAGACCCCGGCGAACTGCTAATCTGCAGCAGCACTTTGTAACATTGCTGTGTAAAAAAATCAACCAGGGAAGAAGAATGGGAGAACACCATACGAAAGTGTCCATAATAATACTATTCCCATACCAGACAAACAATACATGCTCCCCACATACACTCCAATGGGCCACTTGCATGGATACACTTTGTCTGGACTCTTGAACCGTATTATGAATTTCAAAAGGTCTGTCGAGATGGCATCCAGATCTGAAAAATCCTAGCATGCACTTCATCTTTTCCCTTAGTTTTTCTCTAACATAAATATTAGTAGTACGCAGTACCTTTTATCCGAAAAATCATTATCAAAGTTGCTTTTGTTCAGGACAACAGCCACTGTCCAAATAGGTTCCTACTTGGCTGCAACTAGCGGGAGTTCAGTACTTCAGTTTCGCTACATTAGCTCGATAAAAGCCTATTGTGAGATGGTAACGGTACCGCAATCCAAAGGGCAAGAGTGCCTCAGTTCCTAACAAGGGCCTCTATGTCAATAACCGTGAACCATGATTAAACAAGGCACCATGATGTAAACGATGTTATTGACCAGAGTTCATCTGTTGATCATAGGCCACGAAAGCAGTTAAACGGACACCTCTATATAGAGGGCCAATTTATGCATGACGACGAAACTTTGAGTAGGAGTAATAATGTATCATCAAATATGGCAAGGAATGATATTGCCCCCCAAAAAGGCAGAACTCCAAAGATTCCCGTTGCTACCCAACAATGCTCAAACCTCCAGCCGAGTAGGTTGCACATGAAAATGCAGTGCGTACCAATGCAGGAATATCTACACGTACGCCATCATGTGTAACAAGAAAGATCTCAGATCTCAGCTTTAGCTTTTGAAGCATGCCACATGCCATAATGTATGCGAAACCTATACTACCTTACAATTAGCCATGACCATACTTTTCTGAGGAGTAGCAATCTTTACTGAAACATTTTTCCACCAACAGTTTGAAGTATGTTGAACGGGAGAGCAATTCAATGCAGCCATATTTGACACTATGAAAAACAAGCACGAAGATGCATGCAAAACCGTGATGATTATACTTTAACGAAGGGAGAAGAAGTAAAACAGCAATCATTTCCCCCCACTGAGTTCAGATGACATTCTGAAGGCCCTATTAAGAAATTAAAACTTGGGCAAGAATTTCAGAGGTAACAGATTCAGGAAATATATATTTTTGTAAAAAAATAAGCCTGGTGAGAAGAATGAGATGGTAAAGCTGAGGAAAGTGATGGGAGTGAAGACTGAAGAGATGCGAATGTAGGCCTTGGCATGTGATGTGAACATATCGTTGCTCCTACTCACATGCGAGAAAGGGGATTCTTTTTTGCACTCTTGTGGCGCCCTTTTTCTCTTTGTGAAATGGAACTGTGGCTGGGGCCAATCAGATCAAGACGCTCCACGCCCAGAGCACTCTCGCAGACTTGGCAGAGTACTACTACTATCATACAATCTACAGCAAGAACCAGCTCAGCTTCTGTTAAGTGGCCATGGACTCGAGTGATATTAAAAAGAGCGGGCTATGGGTACCAAAACATCATCCATAAGTCTCTGAAAGCTGGGACCTGGATGACGGATGAGTTACCAGAATCGTGTGTTGGCAAGCTTCAGAAATGATGCTGCAAAATGAATGATGTAGTTTGTTCTGAACCAACCTTTTCGTAGCACTAATTAGCTATCTAAAAGCTCACAATTTAGCCTTGTAGAAAGGTCATATCTGAACAACCCTCTCGAGCGGTCATACACCGTCAAGCCTAAAACAAGGTCATATTTTGGGATGTCACGCTGGCTAGCTTTTTCCTCTCTTTTCCTGCCATTCTGATCGAGGAGGCCGGTTCTTCTGCAAGAGACCGCTTTGGCCTGCAAGCAGCATGCTGGACCATCCGAACCTACGTGTATAGCTGAAGCACCACTCCACGGTGGAGCATTGGCCATGCCCTAAGGAGCGGGCTTGCGATTTTCTGAACTCTGATAAAAGCTGGGCAACATGGGCTCAATCATCAGGCCCCGACCAGAGGCCCTAAGCCATACCTTCCTTAACACGAAATAACAATTCCTACCAGATAGCACACCTGGTTGCTGCACTAGTCATATCCCCTACCAGTCCTAGAACTAAGAAAAGCAACCCTTCTCCTAACCACATCAATGGAATAAATACTAACTGCAACTTTCTTTGCAGTGGAAATGCTAATTGCAAAGTGGTCTCCAATCTCCAATGATAAGACAAATCGAACAACTTTCCGGAATGATTCCATGAGTGCCATCAACTTTTGGGGCGTGACAATGGCGTCGCTCCTACATGAATGAAAACTGAAGCCGGAAGAAAAACACTTCCACTGGCTTATTGCATTATTGACATAATACTATACGTCTGCCCTGAATTGGTCTGGCGCCATACTGTGCTGTCTATGCAACCATCGACACTGATAAGCAGTTGCAAATCTCTAAGCAGTCACTTGTCAGATAATTCAGGATGTGCAGTTCCTCACTCCCTGTCGCCACTCACGAGCATGAGAATAAGTGTTCATGAGACATGATACTACAAGCATTGCTACCAAGTCTTTGTCAATCCCAAGCGCGCAATCAAGTAACCAAAAAGGAACGGCAGAAAACTACACACGACCAATTGCCATTGGAAGACCAAACAGAAGAATGATCAAATGTCAAACCCAAGAACGACCGATGCTCACTAAATTAGCAAGGAAAAATCCATTTCTCAAGCAATGTTATCTAGTAGGAGTATATGCGTCAGAATTCAGAAACTGGTAGTACTCACTGGGATCGGTGGTGGTGACCATGCCGGCGCCCTGGAAGTAGCAGGAGCCGCCGGCCTTGCCCTGCGACTGGTAGTAGGTGTTGAAGGCGAACGAGGCGTGGCTCCGCACGTCGTTGGGCTCGTAGCACCCCTCCCCGGGCTGTATCGCCGTGCAGTCAGACCGGCCGGGGCCGCATGCCCAGTCCATGGCAGCCTGCACCGCCTTCTCGTCCGCGTCGTCCGCCGCGATGCAGAACGTCCGGTCCGTCGTGTCGTTCCCCAAGAAACCGTCCTTCCCGGTCACGTGGAGCAGGTACACCGGCGTGCCGTTGCCGTGGAAGAGCCCCCAGTTGGCCTCCGACGCCGGCCCCGGCCGCAGGTCCTCGTTGAAGAGCTCGTAGATGTACACGCTCGCCTGCGTGCCGGGCCGCATAGGCGTCCCGGGCTTCTCCGTGACATGCTTGATGAGGTTGGAGTTGTACGTGTTGGCGTTGTCCTTGCTGGCGTACGGCTCTTGCTTGCGGTCCCCGTAGGACGGCCACCCGGTCTCGGTGACCAGCACCGGGATGCCGGCGCTGACGTTGAGGTTCTTGAGGGCGACGTACACCGCGTCGAGCATGGCGTCGAACACGTTGGTGTAGTGGAGCAGCGTGTTGGGGTCGACCATCTCCAGCGACGGCGGGAGCGGCTTGAACATGGCGTTGTCGACGGGGACGACGCCACTGCTCTGCATCAGCGAGTAGTAGGGGTAGAGGTTGAGCATGAGGGGCGCGGAGGTGTTGGCGAGGTGGGAGAGGAGCGGGAGGAGGAAGGATTTGGCGAGGGACTGGTTGAAGTAGGCCTGGGACGGGGGGAAGGGCTCGAGGACGATGGAGAAAGGGAGCGGGGTGGAGACGGGGATGGAGGAGAGGTTGGCGGCGGTGAGCGCGGCGGCGAGGGACTGGATGGCGGGGAGGAGGATGGGGAGCGCGGAGGGCAGGGCGGTGGGGACCTCGTCGCCGACGGCGATGGCGGAGATGAGGCCCGGGGTGGTTGAGTTGGCGGCGGCGAAGGGGAGCACCCGGCGGGCGACCCAGGCGGAGGCGGTGGCCGGGGAGGAGCCGAGCGCGAGGAGCTCGTCGTTGGGGACGCCGACGATGGCGGTGGCGCCGGAGGAGGCGAGCGCGGAGAGCAGGCGTGGGTCGGCGTCGTAGAGGCGCACGTGGGTGATGCGCTGCGCGCGGAGGAACGCCGCGAGGTCCGACGGGGACAGCAGGTTGGTTACCGCCGTGCCGATCGTGACGCCGACGTAGGGGTCGCCGGAGCCCGCCGCGGAGACCGAGCCTGCAGGCAAACATTAGCAGGCGTAGAAACAGAGCACAGTGGCAAGCAAGCGTATGTGGATGGAGAGGAGACCGAGAGCTTACAGCGCAGACAGGAACGGAGGCAGAGAAGGTGGAGCGAGAGGAGGAGCAGGCTGCGTGTGCCTCCTCTGCTCCTAGCCCCCATTGTCCGCCCAGCTTGTCCTGCTCCTGCTGGGAAGGCAAGGGAAGGGAAGGGGATTGCCTCTCCTCTCCTCTTCCGACAGAGATTGGTGGTGCGTGCTTTGGAGGAGCTCCTCGCGTGCTTTCTTCAGGAATTTCCTTTCCTTGTCTGAATTGCGGAGTGAGGGTGAGGATGGAGGACGGTGGTGTGGTGTGGGGTGGGGGGCAAAGGTAAGGGGTTGGTGATTGGCGACGGAATGAATCTCGAATTGGCTGTTTGTTTCTTGCTTTCTTTCTTGGTTGTTAGCTTCCTTTCCGAGGGGAGGCTCCTTTTTCTGAATGGATTCTCTTTATGAGGTTTATTTGGTGGTAGTGCTAGGTATTAATTAGTATCCAATCTTGCTTATTAAAAGTCTTTCTTTCTTTCAGTGGGGAAGGGACAAGGTCCAGGCGGCAGCGAGCCCGTGACAGTGACACTGAGCCGCCTGGCCGGTGGGGACAAGCCTCCATAAGATTAGAGTGGTTCACACTTCCACTTCACTCCACTAGCTGGCTGTGCAAGCCTGTCTTTCTTGTCCTCGCCCGTTTCTTCTACTGCAACAGTCGCAACAACAAGTTCCTACAGACACACGCAGATCTACAACGTCCAAATGCTGCCTGCGCTCCAGAGGGATTCAAAAACATTCTTACGTACTCCCTCCGTTTCGAATTACTTGTCTTGTACTCCCTCCGTTTCAAAATAGATGACTCAACTTTATACTAACTTTAGTAGTATAAAGTTGAGTCATCTATTTTGGAACGGAGGGAGTACTTGTCTAGATACGGAGGGAGGGAGTAGTAGGTATCAACATAGGAGCAACAAATCTCGCAAGGCAGGAGGCGGAGCGGCTTTGTCTTGCACGGAGCTTCGGTGGTGATGTCAAGTCATGCCTGACCGACAGGTGCTACGCTTTGTCATGCCTGGTCGGCAGGTGCTACGCACGGCAGATCTTCCAAGGACTTCAAGCTGTGTCGGCTGGTGATACCTGACAGCATGGCGCTGAGGTGTATCAATGGCGACCGCGACGTGCTCAGCTGTTTGCGCGCAGGGAGGAGGTGCCGTTTGGCGCCGTGGTGGCGTCGACAATAGCTAGACCGAGTAAGGTTGATGCAGCAGTACAGTTCTGAAGATGGAGCAGTGGCAGTTGGCGGCGGCGGCATCTGAGTGCACGCCGGACCGGTGAGACCCATGTCCGGCAAGCGTCCTGAATGGGTTCTCAGGTCTTAGATGTTAGGTTTGGCTGCGATGTCTGTTTGGTATTAGGCCCAGGCTATCTGCGCCCCTTCATCAGCTGGATAGAGGTGCTTAGACGGCGGCTTTAGTCTTATTATTGTATTACTTTGTAAGGTTTTATGAGAATAATTAATAAAGTGACCGTATATATCGCCCAGATGCAGAGGCGGGGGGTCATCCTCCTTTTCTAAAAAAACAAATCTCGCAAGAAAAAAACATGGGAGCAACAAATATACCTTTTTTTAATAGAGTAGCTAACCACTTGTGCCATGTGGTAGCAACAAATATACCTACTTCTACATATTTTCTTTTAGATAATAAAACAAACATATTACTACCTCTTGCCTCTGCACCCGAAAGTGCACGCATCCCACTATTCCAAGGATCCATCAAACCTTGTTGAAAAAAAAGAACCAAAGCAGTCAACACGCTGAAATTCAGCCAGGTATTACAAACCCATTGTGTGCTCTGGCTGATGTCCATTGAGCTGTAATAAGAGGATTGTTTCCAGTAGTTTGTTGCTTCAGATTACTGGTAAAACTTTTAGTTTTCGGACGCGCTGAACGTGCTTTTGAACTTTGTAATCTCTGGTTTCATTCAAGTAATGAAACCGGCGGGTCTTTGGCCCTCCTGATAGTCTAGAAAGTTATCTCATGTAAATTTCTCAAGAGATTCTACAGATTTGTACATGTTTCAGGGGGCCAAAAGACTCAATCTTTTGATAAGAGGGGCCAAACAATACTAACGCATGTATTTTTGTCTAAATTTTACACTATTCATGTACAAACTAGTAGCAAATCAACGGTCATAGGGGGGCCAGGGCCCCTGCTGCCCCCTGTCTCCGCCACTGGTTTCAGACACATGATGCAATCCAAACATAGCATTCTATCATGACAAGACAAGATATATCGCTCTAACATTCTTCCAGTTTGGCAGTTGCACATGTTGAATATATGAGTAAATTACTACGAGATTTAATCCGAACAAACAGTAAATAAATTATGACGACAAAAACAGAGATTAAACTAATTATGCGGATTAGCATAGTATATGAATAGATCAGATCTAGGGCACAGACTAGAATTAAGAATTCTAGCACGATCTCGAACAAGGAGGACAAGATCACGTACGGTGCAGCAGGAGCAGGACCGCCAACGTTGATGTTGCCGCCCATGTCGTTGAGGAAGACGTTATCGAGGTCAGGAAAGAAGTCGTCGTCGGCGAAGTCGTCGCTGCCAGCAGTCGCGCGAGTGCGCTCCCCAAAAACCTGATCGGCCTCTCCCATACAGGATCACGAGAGGTGGAGTTCCGGAGGCCTGTTGTCCCTTCTCATAGTGCACGCCGAAAGGAGGGATGGAGAAGACTTGCGTGGCGGTGCAATGATCTGGAACGGTGGTGCGAAACCATGCGATACGGCGGCGACTAGGGTAGATGTCTGTCTGACTATATAGTGCGGGTCGGGTAGGTCGTGGGAGTAAACCCCACGTCTGAGTCGTCGCAATCCAAAAGAATCAGAAACGGTTCAGTAATTAACTGTTCAGCAAAAAAATTTGTCCTTGGCTCGGCTCATTCCCGCAACCCGCGGTGAGGCGTGGCAAGCGAGGAGGAGGAGCATGCATGTAGGTCTCCTCTTCTCATGCTCAAAGTGATAGAAGAATTCACCTTATAAAGAGGTGCAAGTCTCTCTCAACTTTCGCGATGGGAGTAAACTTTAGTCTCACTCACATTACTCACATGTGTGCATGAATGGGCCAAGAGAATTTCAGAATTTTAGTTGGGCTTTGAGCCAAAGGCCTACTAGCAAATTCCAACAACCCCTCACAAAGTCTCATTGGCACATGTCATCACTTAGTTCCAAAACATTGTTTACATACCGATGCTTAGTGGAGACTGTAAAGTTGAACTTTCACCTAGAGGTTTATGCTATACTAGATCACAACTTGAATAGTGGACTATACCTTGAACTACAAGTTTTCTACGAGACTAGTTTCACACAAATTCTCGACGGATACTGGGTTGCCGCAAGGCTTCCCCGCAGGTGGAGCATATATGTCATACTCCAGGGCCTTTCATGAATTTATTAGAGAACATCCAATTCTCATAGACTGCGACGTTAACAGTCAAATTCATATAGGTGTGTTGCTCAGGAGATGCTTTGCAGGACAACATCTCTGCTTACTCAAATAAGCCACTTGGAACACAATACGATAACTATCAACCTGCTATGTAGATCAGGAGAGTATTGCATCTTCACGGAGTGGGCTAATTGAAATAGGGATACTCTCCTCTCAGCTGACCAACAGCTTGTCTCCCACTTCTACTTCACAAGATCTCCGATCACATAGAGTGGGTTGCCACTATGGACTGTTGAGGAACGTAGCATGCAATTTCAAAAAAATTCCTATGATCACGCAAGATCTATCTAAGAGATGCATAGCAACGAGAGGGGGAGAGTGTGTCCACGTACCCTTATAGACCAAAAGCGAAAGCGTTAGTTTAACACAGTTGATGTAGTCGAACGTCTTCTCGATTCAAACGATCAAGTACCAAACATACGACACCTCCGAGTTCTGCACACGTTCAGCTCAATGACGTCCCTCGAACTCTTGATCCAGCAAAGTGTCAAGGAAGAGTTTTGTCAGCACGATGGTCTGGTGACGGTGATGGTGAAGTGATCCGCACAGGGCTTCGCCTAAGTACTACGTGAATATGACCGGAGGCGTAAACTGTGGAGGGGGGCGCCGCACACGGCTAACAATTGTTGGTGTGGTTTCTAGCAGTGCCCCCCTCCCCGTATATATAGGTTGGAGGGGAGGAGGGGCAACCAAGGGGGCGCCCAATTAGGAGGAATCCTACTTGGGGTCCTCCCAATTCGGCCTCCCCCTTTCCCATTCCTATTCGGAGTAGGAAGGCAAGAGGGGGAAGGAGGAATCCTATTCCCCTTTTCATTTCCTCCTTCCCCTTTTATACTCCAATTTGGCCAGCCCAAATGGGGGGGGGGCGTACCAGCCCCTTAGGGGCTGGTCTGTCCCTCTCTTGGCCCATTAGGTCCATATAGTTTGCCGGGGGTTGCCCGGAACCCCTTCCGCTGACCCGGTACGTACCTGGTACCCCCGGAACACTTCCGTGTCCAAATACTATCGTCCTATATATGAATCTTTACCTCTCGACCATTTAGAGACTCCTCGTCATGTCCGTGATCTCATCCGGGACTCCGAATAACATTCATTCATCAAATCACATAACTCATATAATACAAATCGTCATCGAATGTTTAAGCGCGCGGACCCTACGGGTTCGAGAACTATGTAGACATGACCAAGACACCTCTCCGGTCAATAACCAATAGCGGAACCTAGATGCTCATATTGGCTCCCACATATTCTAGGAAGATCTTTATCGGTCAAACCATTATGACAACATATGTTATTCCTTTTTTTATTCGTATGTTACTTGCCCGAGATTCGATCGTCGGTATCTTCATACCTAGTTCAATCTCGTTACCGGCAAGTCTCTTTACTCGTTCCGTAATGCATCATACGACAACTAACTCATTAGTCACATTGCTTGCAAGGCTTATTATGACGTGCATTACCGAGAGGGCCCAGAGATACCTCTCGGATACTCGGAGTGACAAATCCTAATCTTGATCTACGCTGACCCAACAAACACCTTCGGAGATACCTGTAGAGCATCTTTATAATCACCCAGTTATGTTGTGACGTTTGACAGCACACAAGGTATTCCTCTGG